GTTGGAGGTGTTGTGTCAAATACCTACCCACGTCCTGGCCTCACACAACCGCTGCTGGGCTTTGTGGCTGTGGGCACTCACTGACCTTCAGGACTTAGAGTCCTGATCTATAACACGAAGATACTGTTAAACCTCCACCCTTAAGAGCAATGCCAGGTTGGCATGGGCCCCAGGCTCCTCTCCTCTGAATGGGGAGGTAAGGACACCGCACTCCCTGGCTCTCCGAGAGGAGTAGGTACCAGCCAAGGACAGCGGGCGAGGAGGCCATTCTCAGTGGAGCACCCACTTGGTCAGCCTCTTGGCGATGATTTTCATCGACTTCTCACGTTGACTCCTTCTGTGATGACTACCTCTGTCCCATGGATGGGTCAACAGGACGGGCTGGCATTTGGTGGACATTCGGTTCTGTCTGTTATTGTTGCAGAGGACATAAAAAGCCACTCCCAACTATGAATGTAAACAACATATATTTAAAGCTGTGGGGGGCCTTTGTCTTTCGGTTTTCAACGTCTGACTTACCTGCCCTGTTTCAAGCAAGTCACGTGGACGTTTGTTGTATAATGCACACGCGAGCTCAGTGCCCAGGGCTTAGGTTACTTAAAGCCCAGGGCTGCTGAGTGCTGGCGATCTATAATGAGCGCAGACTCGCTGCAGCCTGGGGCAGGATGGCGTTGGCTGCGCCATTTGCTGAGTTCAGCTTTCAGGAGGCTCTGTTTGCTGTGTCCCTTCAACACGTCAACCGAAGCCTAGATTCCAAGCAACCGAGGTGAGATTCCAGCCCCTAAGAATAATAGAGACTTCAATAAAGCAGGGCTTAAGCGGAAAGTCCTGGCAGACCCTGAATCCACATTCCATGCGGATGACGTCAGAGGACGTGGGGTTGGGTGGCCTCTCCCCTGGGCTCCCGGCCTGCAGCTCGGTGGAGAGGAAATGACAGAGCCTAGGCCCGAATGCATGGAGCCGCACACCGCAGTGGGCTTTCTGCGGCCGCGTGCATGTAGCCAGGGGTGGGCTTCTCAGCTACAGAGATGACCCCAGTAGAACAATGCATAATTGCCCTAACCCGTTTGGCTCAGTGAATAGAGCATCAGCCTGCGGAGTGAGGTGGTCCCAGGTTCGATTCTGGTCAAGGGCATGTACCTTGGTGGTGGGCACATCCCCAGTGAGGGGTTGGGGGTGCAGGAGGCAGCTGATGGATGTTTCTCTCTCATCGATGTTTCTAACTCTCTACACCTCTCCCTTCTTCTCTGTAAAAAAAAAAAAAAAAAAAAAAAAAAGTCAATAAAATATATTTAAAAAAAGAAAAATGCAAAAAAAAAAATTCTTGGCTAGTTGAGGTCAAGCTGTGTTAAAAGAAGAGTGAATTAGAGTTTAGCTTTCTTCTTGTCAAAGATGAAATCTCTCTGTGGATAGAAATATCCTGACATGTAGTCGCCACTATTCTATCCGTTGGTTGAAATCGGAGCAGCAAGGGGGAGAAAGGTCTTGGATGATTCCCCTCCTTTAGTCAAAGCACCTGCCAGGCGAGGGCACACTGTCTCCAAGCTGGGCATGGGGGTTAGCGTTGCCACGTGTTCTTTACCCACATAATAGAATGCAGCCTGGGGCTTCGGCCGAGTTTCTCAACACTCATGTGCCTCACATGTGTCCCCTGTGGGCTGGGAGGAAAAGAGTGGATTGTGATTCTTGCCGTAGTTATAGTAAGACCAGACAGCCCTCTGGTGAAGGGTAAGAACCATTTGTTGGCACTGCCCCCCATTTGTCATAGGGCCAAGGGCAAATCACCCGCGTGTGTTTGTGACTCCCAGGAGCCAGCATGGGGTTGTTGGACCCCATGATTGAAAGACCCCTGGGGAAGATGACCCTAGGGGTTCAGGTGCAAGGTTACGCACAGCCTTTGCTGTATACTATAGAGCTCACCATTCAGGTCTGTGTATCTTTCCTCAAACACACATTCATTAGTTCATTACTGTGTGTGTGTTTGTGTGTGCATATGTGTGGGTGTATGCATGCATGTGTGTGTTCCTGGTATTGGGAGAGGAAGCTAGAAAAAGAAACGGCAAAGAGGAGAGTGACTCAGGACCACGGATCACAAAGGTAGAACCATCACGTCGAACCACCAATGATCTTGGCAAAGTCCCTTTTCTCCTGGGCCTCAGGCGCGCTGCCTCTGAAGAGGGGGCCGGGGTCAGTGGCTTGAAATTCCTGCATGTCTGTGGCTCCTCTCTGCTTCCCGCTCACTTTGCAGACACTTTTCTGGGCCTCTCTCCCCTCCAGGGTTCTCTCCCCAGCCGGCCTCGGAGGCCCTGACCTGGCCGGGCGGAGGGCAAGGGGAGCAGAAGTCACTGCCCACCCACACGGGCATCTCCTCCTCCTGCTTCGATGGCCCGACCACGTGTGTGGCTCTCGCGACCCAGGCCCCATAGGTTAAGGTGACCAGGCATCTGGTTTTTGAACAATTTGTCCCGCATCCCAAGACGTTTTAAAAAAGTCCCAATTTCTGGAAAGAAATTGGACTTTTTTAAAATGCCGAGGGACGCGGGACAAATTGTTAAAAATCGTGACTGTCTCACCAAAAGCGGGACGTCTGGTCACCTCACCATAGGTGTGGCCGTGGCCTCCTTTCCCCTCAGCATTCCGGGAGACAGCAGCCAGGGAAGATTTGTTTCTGGCCATGAACCAAATACGAAGGTCACATGATTGTGTGATTTTCTTTTCCCGCCTTCCAAAGAAATATGGAAGGCTGGAGCAGGCCAGCCCTCCAATTAATCCCGAGAGCAGCTGCCTTTGGGGTGAGTAAGCCTGAATATCATTCACTTCCCTCGTCATTGCACCGGGGAAAGCTACTGTCGGCCGCCTCCCCTGGCTCTCAGTCATTCTTCAGAGGCCACAGGCAGCGTGGAGGGCAGGTCCTGGTCCCAGGCCGGCCCACATCATTGCCCGGGCCCACGTTTCCTCTCCAGGGGGCAGGATGTTGAATGTTGGGCCGTGCACTGACCGGCATGCGCACACACAATGCGGGGGTCAGTTCCTCCTGCTGCTCACAGGGCCTTGGGGCGCGCTGACCCCCAGCCCCCGCTCGCCCATGTGCCCTTGTATTTCCTCCTGTTTCTCGCTGCTTCCTGTGCAGCCCTTGTCCAGTGGGCTTGTCCAGTTGTCCATGTAGCTGGACGGGTGCCTGCCTCACACAGAGAGGGAAGGAGGGGGACAGCTCACAGCGGGAGGAACCTGCTGAATGAAGAGGAAGTCGGCATTACCGCCAGATTTACCACCTGGGCCAGGACCCGGGCCGGGCACGGTGCTGAGGCCCTTACAGATGTTACTCAGTCTGCACAGCACCACGGAGGCGGCGTCCGTCACCCATGTTATCTGTGAGATCCTGGGTCTATGAATGCGGTGGGTGCTGCCCAGTGGGCACCTGGCACAGAGTGGGCGTTTGATAGATGTCTGCTGAGTAAATGGATGGATGGGTGAAAGGCCAAAGGGAGGCTCCCTGGCTTACCCCACATTCATTTAAACATTGTCTCTGTTGTGAACGGTGCCTTCCCATCCTTTACTCCCTTCCCCTCCCTGCGCCCCCATCCAAGGGGCAAGGAGACCTTTTTTGGTCCAAGTTTCCCAGCATTCCACTGGGCCCTGCCTGGTGGACTTCCAGGACCGGAATGGACCCCAACAGACAAGTCCTTTCTTTTCTGACATTTCGTTGAGTCATCAGCTATTGGGGATTCATTTCTTTCTTTTTTTTTTTAATTTTTAAAAAAATATATTTTATTGATTTTACACAGAGAGGAATTGAGAGGGACAGAGAGTTAGAAACGTCGATGAAAGAGAAACATCGACCAGCTGCCTCTTGCACACCCCCAACTGGGGATGTGCCCACAACCAAGGTACATGCCCTTGACCGGAATCGAACCCGGGACCCTTCAGTCCGCAGGCCGACGCTCTATCCACGGAGCCAAACCGGTCCCGGCTGGGGATTCATTTCTTGTGTATATTTTCCTCTCTCTTTTGTCTGGTTTTCTGTAACGCACGCTGTTTTCTGCATCATTTTTAGGGTTTGAATTTCTGTTAAATGTTAATAACCTCCCTCTTCTCCTTTTATGACTGGTTACCTGGCCTGGCTGTCACGTGAGAGTGAGTAGGAGCCAGTGGTAAACTTAAGGGCACAGACGTGCAGTAGCCAACCGCCACCCAACCTGCTCCACCAGCGGCGTGACTGGAACAAAAGCGCGGGGCGCTGCTCTCTGGGCCTGGCAGGGGCCCGGTGTGGAGCCCCAAACCTCATTCTTCCTGGGAGAAACAGTACATGGAAATGGAGACTCATCTGCGATTATTCTCAGCATCACATTCAGAAAGACCAGCAGAAGTTGCTGGAGGCTATTTTCAGACAAGGAATAAGGACAGAACCAAAATACAGACGTGGTTGTTAACTCCCCGGGGAATGCTGAGTCCGCACTGGCTCCCAGCCAGCAGAACACGCACCTCCTGGCTAGTTTATGGCAGAGTGAATGTATGAGATGCAAAAAGTGCAAGAAGCAACCATCCGAGAGAGCACTGGGCCCCTCTGCCCGCATCGGCCGGCGCCTGAGACTGATGTCATCGAGGTGCGCCGGGCACTGTCTAGGTCTTTATGTTCCACCAGCAGGTCTGTTGTCCTGCCCTTGGTTCTTATGCCTACAGCCTCCTCTCTTTAAACTCTACTTATTCTGCCTGGCCGGTGTGGCTCAGTGGTTGAGCGTCGCCTATGAACCAGGAAGTCACAGTTTGATTCCCAGTCAGGCCACATGCCTGGGTTGCAGGATCAAATCCCACTAAGGGGTGTACAGGAGGCAGCCGATGCATGATTCTCTCTCATCATTTGTGTTTCTATCTCTCCCTCTTCCTTCCTCTCTGAAATCAATAGAAAAATACTTTAAAACTCTACTTATTCTTCCTGGCCCCTGTCATTCATTCTATGTGGGTGACAGCCCCAGTAAGGGGTGTGCAAGAGGCAGCCGATCCAGTGGCCATCTATCCCTAAAGTAACTCTCCAGTCTACATTTCTAGCTTTGAATTTTTGTCTGATCTTTAGATACTGTTTTAAGTGCCTCACAGACACCTAAGCTCTTTCACCACCTGCTACCCAGCATTGGAGCTGCAGTTCTCTCCCTCCCAGCTCAGCTGGCCTCTCTGTGTAACAATGCCTTTCTGCGGTGGCTGCTGCTGCTGGAGGCTGCCGCCCATGTGGAAAGACAGCAGGTCTGTCCGTGGCGTTGATTAGAATTGGCGTTCAGAAGTCTTGGGCTCCAACCTCAGCGACGTGCTCTGAGGCCACGTGGCTTCCACGTTCATCTGTAAAGAAGTTGCCTGTTGGGCAGTGCCGCGGGCCCTGCCAGAGGATAGATATGCCAGTGCAAACTGGCACCACCCCGATTGGCCTGCGGGGGGGGGGGAGAGGGGAGCGGGGGTCTGTGGGTGGTGCCCTGGGAACAGGGGGGCCATCGCCCTGCTCGCTGGCTTTGTCCTCCCTGGTATGCACTGGCTAGCTAAAGGCAATGAGCTCCAAACAAAGGGAGGTTACAGATAAAACGTACTGCTGAGGAATGTCTAGTCACTGACCCAGTCTCCCTGCACATTGGGAAAGGACAAGCCTTCCTTGATTGTAGCCTTAGAACCCGGGGTCTCTGGAGTAGATTCTGAGCGCCAAGGACTTTCTCAAACCATCTGTTTCCAGGGACAGCAAAGCACGCGGAGGGCAACGCGCTGGCCCCTGAGTGATTGCTTTATGCGCAGCCGTGGCCGTGAGGAGGGGCGGTGAAGGCGGCAGTAACAGTAATCCCCCACCTGGCCATTGTGGACGGCACTGCACGCTTCAAAGCTCCGGCGTCATGGGAGGAGGGCGGCCCTGCGGGAAAGGCTCTCACTTAGCTTCCTCCGAACCTGTAATTACTCACGTGCTCATGCACCTGGGGGAAAGCAGAGGGAACCGTGCAGGCAATGCTTCCTTACTGCCTTTTTTCTAGTCCCTTTTTTGTAGTTTCCTTAATTTGGGCTTTATGAGCTACGTTTGACACGCTTTTATCAATATTATCTTCTTGGGAATGCAAAGTCTCACTTATAGTTATCCCAGAGGTAGGTCATAAAGGACATAGGTGTTTGTAAATCTGATCAGCTTCTTGAAAACTCAGTTATTCAAACAAAACAAGACAAAACAAAGGATTCTACAGTCAGGGTAGTAAATGCCTAAGCTAGTATTGTGGAGTCATTGGTTAATAGGCGATACACAAGTTACTGGTGCATTTAAGAATCTGGTAAGCAAAAACTTTAGTTACAATATTTTTCTTTTCTTCACAATTCTAAGCATCCTTCCTGGTCAGGGAGTGGCTCTTATATTCATGTTCTCACTCTTTCCCTTTAATAACACCCAGAACTCCTGGCCTTCACTCTGCAGTGGTGAAGACTGCCCTGGGCTTCTGGAGGGAAGAGGAGGGAGAAGGACTTTTCTCTCACCCGGTCAGGGCAGGTTCCCAGCACAGCAGAAGCTTTGGCCAATCTGACTGGTTTCCACAGGCTGAGGAGGAAGACAGAGCAGCAAAACTCAGGGACCTAACACGTCCAGAGAGGAGCTAACCAGGGTCCTCAGGCCACTGGGTTACATCGGAAATCCTGGAAAAGTCCCCTAAGAAATACCAGTTTATTATCCCTGTTACAGGATGAACTGTGTCCCCTAAAGATATGTTACAACGCTAACCCCGGTACCTGTGAAGATGGGCTTATCTGGAAATGGGTTCTTCCGGATGTAATTCAATGAAGATGCGCTCACACCATATTAGGGTGGGCCCTAACTCCATGTGACTGCCGTCCTCACAGGAAGAGGAGAGGACACAATCTCAGAAAGGAAAGGCCACCTGAAGGTGGAGCAGAGATTGGGTGATGTGTCTGCAGGTGAAGGAAAACCCAGGGTTTCTGGTTAGCTGTCAGAAGCCAGGGGAGAGACATAGATGATTTCTACTGCAGAAGTCCAGTAGCAACAACTCTGAAGACACCTGGATTTGGGATTTCAGGCATAAAGAATTGTGAAAAAATAAATGTCCATTGTTTGAAGCCACCCAGTTGGTGGTACTTTCGCTGGTAACCATAGAAACTGTAAACAATATATCAAATGCCTCCTGGCAACTGAGGAGTCCAGCGTGAATGGAACAGCATCACTGCCCTTCACACTAGTGAGAAACAGGCATGTGTATTGAGGGGCAGTGGGTCCGGCAGGAGACGGTGGCCCCTAACCCTAACACTAACCCTAACCCTGCCAAACCTAACCCTAACTCTAACCCTAACCGTAACCCTAACCAACCCTAACCCTAACTCTAACTCTAACTCTAACCATAGCCAACCCTAACCCTAATTCTAACCCTAACCTTAGCCAACCCTAACCCTAATTCTAACCCTAACCCTAACCAACCCTAACCCTAATCCTAACCCTAACCCTAGTCAACCCTAACCCTAACCCTCTAGAATTAGACTTGACTTCCAATTCTGAGCTGGTTTCTTATTTTGGAGCTTCAGTTTCCTCATCTTTACAGTGCGGGATACAAACATCTTTCTCATGGGATTTCTGGTGGAAGAGTTAATATATTGATAGATTTGTGTGAACTTGGCCAATACCTGGCCTGCTGAATGTCCTCAGCTAATGCTTGTTACTCAAGGACTAGGACTGGACATGCTTTCTTGCCTCAGTCAGGTCATCCATTTAGAGCGAGTCTCTGCTCTTTCAATTTCATCTTGGTAATTTTTGTCCTTGCATTGAGTTTATTTAAGGAACCGTTTGGTTGAGTGAAACCTCACAGCATTTAGGTTTTGGCTCAATGCATTGGAACAATCAAAAAGGTATTTATAGCTAAAAACGTTTGTGCACCCAAACCACATTATTTTCATCTCCTGATGCTTGAGCAGCTCTGGTTTGGGCTGGATCTTTCAGCCTTCCTGTGGTGTGGAGGGGAGCGCATTTTCCAACACTCCACTCAACTCTCTAAATATCTTGGCCCCACCCCAGCTGGTTGGGGCAAACTGTGGTCTTTCTCAGGTGATGCTCATGGCAGCCCCCGGTGATAACGATGTGGGCAGATGCTGTGTATGGAACCCTGCTGGCCATTCTTGAAGGATACTGGGCAACGGTATTTTCATAGTGGATGGTTTGTGTCTCTCTGGATTCACTTCAAGTGTCTTAATAGACACCTTCTGTGGAAAAAACACACACACATATTTGGGTCTTGGCAAGGCCTAAACACAGAAAAATGTCTTCTGTTTCTTCCACACACCTGTGTAGGAAGGAGCCAGGATTTATGGAGTTTGTCCAGCCAAGACCATGACCTTGGTGTGCATTCCAGCCATATCTCCGAAGCAGCTGAAAGTGCACACACAAACATCAGGGCTTCCTAATGGAGCACTGAAGTTAGACCAGACTGTGGAGAAGGAAATACTTGGGGGAAATAGGAGCTGAGTTTTTATTCTTTTGTTGCCAGAAAGCCAAATCCCAAGCTGGAATTTTGTGGTTCTGGCGATTTTTGTGCCTCCCAGTCATTTGACACAGATGGTTCTCATTTAAGGATAAGACACTTCATCCACCAGCGGGAACAAGGCCCAGGGAATGAGCCCGAGCTGCCCATTCTCATGCCAAAGTATATTTTTCAGCTGGAGAAAATGAGAATGAGAAGATGGTTCGAAAGCCACCAATTAGCATGCAGCAATTGAACGATAAAAATACTCGGCCACTCTGAAACCCGAACCTCCCTTTAGATCATGTCACCTTGGCAACACTCACCAAGGCCCCTGGACTGCAAGGCCAGCCATGAATCTGCCGGAGACCTACCGCCCATTGTGCTAATGGCAATAACATTTCAATAGTTCCTGACAGTTTGGCTTCTCCTTTGCCATGTGAGAGAACGGACTCTGTTGAGTGAGTTGCCATTTGTCAAGGAATTGAGCTAAAGGGGGAAATACCAAAGAGAAAGGTGGTGCCAGCTCTTTCCTTCCCTCCTGAATGGGTGAAACCTTTCCTGCTCAAGTCTTTCTTTATCAACACCTCCCAACCCCAACCCTTCCACCTTACCACCTCCTCTCCCCTCTACATCTCTCCTCTCCTCTGTACCCACTAAGTATAAGGGATTCCCAGGGCACACCGTCTTTCGTCTCCCAACCAACTCAGCGAGAACATCCGCGTCTGTTAGAACCCCCTCCTCTGAGAGGCCGGGGCCATCTCTTTCTGGGGTTTTACCCAGCATCGCGCGTGCTCTGTGAGCACATTTCTCCTCACCTGTCCCCATCCAGCTCACTGCCCTCCTTTGAGAAGCACTTCCCGTCTCTCCCAGGTCATGAGCCATCCCTCCCCGGCAGCTTGATATGTTTCATCTCAGTTATTTATTCATGAAGTCTGGGCTGTGTGTATTCTCAGTGCCTAGAGGTATCTGGGACAGAGAAGGGGGTCAATAATTTAGGTTCCTACGGTCTTGTAGGTTGGCTGTCTGGTGCGAGGCATCTCTGTGACACACTCCACATATCCACATGTCACCCGACCTAGTGTCTATACTCCTGGAGAAAAATGGTGTCTGTTATGTTCATAGAATGAGTAGCAGTTTTCATTGTCTGTTCATGAATGTGTTGACTTTTAGCCCTATAGCTTGTAAGAGAGGCAGGGAGGGCATGCATTCAACCTGTGATGATGAGTGTTAGCCCATTGTGTAGATGAGAAAACGGAGACTCTAAGAGCTTTCCTGATTTCCTCCTGGTTATAAAGCTAGTAAGTGCCAGAGCTGGGTCTTATTTCCAGGCCTTCTGAACTCAGCTCAAAAAACTTCTAATTGCTGTTATTGTTGGTATTGTTGTGTGAAAAGCGTAACAATAATTTTGTGGGCTTTATAAAACAATAAACACAGCTCGCCATGATAACAACCATAACGAAGCTCTCAAACCTGCCAAACTGCATGCTATCTACGTTTACTGGCGTGTCACGTGTTGAAATGCCACTAGGGTGTGAGCAGTGCCCAAACCCCAAGCACACGGGACTGGCTGCCATGGGCAAACATCGTCACAGCTCATCAAGTTCCAAGATCTGCAAACATAAAACATTGACCAAGACTCGGCTCCACGGATGAGTGAGCCAAGCTCCTGGGTGTGGCCGGGTTACTCCCGCCATAAAAAACCCAAACCAGACCTTGGCAGGCCTTCAGGGCGCACATCTGGGAAGCAAGGTATGAATCATCATGGTTTTGTCCTTGTTTGCAAGGAGCCCTGCTGGACTGCCGGCCCTTGCGATGGTATTTCCAGGCTCCCCGCAGGTAAGGCTGGGGGGAAGCTATAACTATAATGTTTTTAAGTCAAGTTTTCCATTCAGGCCTCTGGCCGAGTGTACACGATTGTCTCAATACTTGGGGGTGAAGTCTGCGGGATCCCGAGGCTGCCCAGGTATCTGGGGCAAAGGAGATCTTGGGACCTGGTGTACCCTTTAGGATGAGGCTCAGGGAGGGTCATCCCATGTCCAAGTGAGCCATTAAATCAGGAACAACATGTTAGTACTGGAAGAAACTCATGAGGGGCACACTGTCCTGGTCCTTGCTCATGCCTGGGTACCCGGCTCTCCTCTCTCTCTCTCTCTCTCTCTCTCTCTCTCTCTCTCTCTCTCTCTCTCTCTCTCTCTCCCCCTGAGCCATGGGGCTCCTCCCACACAAGCCACATGGCTGGCCTACTGGCCTTGGCCCTGAGGAGTGGTCTGAGCAGAACCCCAGACTCAGTTTATCCTTGTCACGCCCGGAAGCCATCACCTTGCCTGAGCCCTCTCGGCAGAGGAGCAGGGTGAAGCACCACTCGGGGCCGGACAGCCTAGGGTCTGAGCGCTGGGCCAGCTCTGGACAAAGTGGGGTTTGAGGAAGGCTCGGCAGACCTTCAGCTCCGTTTCTGTAAAGTCTCCAAGGCGCATAGGGAATTGCTCTCTGCCCTGAGCTGCCATCCCTGAGCCATATCCCCCACCTCCCCTGGGCCTCAGGTTCTGTATCAACACAACGAGGATGATGGTACTCAACCCAGGGCCCAGGAGGGAGCGTTCACAGTAGCAGAGGCACCGTGGGGTGGACTGAGAGCTTGTGTGGAGGTTCTTGCAGGGGAGCACAGCTACTCGTATACCCTTGACCGAAGCCCGGCCATCTCCTCTGGGGGGAAGGTCGTCCTCTTCGACCAAGCGCGCAGCTTTGGGAGGGACGCACATGGATCAGTGAGGGAGGAGGGGGACACCCGCCTAGCCAGCCAGATCAGCCCAATCAATGGGGTGACAGATGTCGCAGCCAGATCGCCCTCACACCCTAGTGGGGGTTGATTGAGATGGCAGACAGGAACTCTTCTCTAGTTCTTGTCTCATAGCAGGGACTCAGTTGCTACAGTCATTTTTATTCCCATTATCAGGGAGGGTCCCTTTGGGAGTGCCAGAGCGGGTGGTTGGCTTGGTCATGACGGAGATAGCGGAGCCGCCAGGGTTGCCAGGGAGAAGGCGCCGGACCAGGGGATGCTGCGCAGGAGAAACCGATGAAGCTCACCTGCACGGCTGCTCGGACCAGAGGCACAGGGTTCTCGGCCTTGTGGGGAGCACCACGCCAGGCCCAGGTCTGGGAAGGGGACGGCGCTCTGGGAGCAGAGCCGTGGGGCTGGAGGCTCAAACCCGGGGTGCAGGCCCGGAGAGCCGGGCTCACAAATGTCTAAGGCAGCTTTGGAGGAGCGCGCACTGTTTGGGGTGGCCCCAGGGAAAAACACGGCTCAGGCTCCATCCGGAGGCTCCAGCCCGGGGTGTGGGCAAAGGTAGTCCTCATCCTGAATGGCGGACCCACAGGCCTCCCGACATGCTTCCGGTTAATCCTTCGCTGTGTGTTTGTCTCGTTACGGAGAGCGAGTGCGCAGTATGATCCCCCCCCCCCCCCCCCCCCCCCCCCAGGAGGGCCGCCTGCAGAGGGGCAGGTCTGAGACCGGGAAAGGCGTCTGGATGGAAAGGCCCGGCTCCATGGTGTCCCTGACCTTGTACTCGGGTCCCGGCTTCCTCACCTGCTTAACGCGGAGGCCGCCGAGTCAGCAGGTCCCCAGGGGCACTATCCGAGGTGGAGAAAGTGACGTTGCGTGCTGTGCCACCCAATGCCAGCTGTTGTGCATTTTAAAATTACTTCCCCTCCGGAGAAATAAATAATGCATGTTTTTACCCCCCACCCGCTGCCTTTCCCTTTAAAGTTCTGGGGAGGTCCTGCCAGCTGCGTCTCTCTGATCTCAATGATTATAAGATATCGTGAGAAGCTAAAAGGCCTGTAATTTCCTGCAGTCAGGATTCTCTAGGCTGCCCCTTGCCCTGTGAGCTGGGCACTGAGGTTGTCTTCCAGAAATGGCTTTGGTTTTCTGCAGGTGCCACTTCCGTGTGAGCCCAGGCCGGGCCCTACCTGTCCTTCCTGCTCAGAGGCTCAGGGGAAGAGAGCTCACGCATGGGTGGGTACTGGGCCACCTGGCATCTCGCTGGCATTGGCTGAGCTGACCGGAAGCTGGCAGGGAGAGGGAGGGGCACAGGGCGCAGGAACAAGGCCCCCCAGGATGGGGAGACTCAGCCTGAGCCTCAGCCCTTGGCCTCAGGAGTTCCTCTCCCATCCCTTCGTGAATCTCTGGTTTGTGCCCACAGTTCCCTCACCGCCACTCTCCCCAGGCACATTCTGATGGGGCACTGATGCCACCCAAGTGTTAGCCAGTCTGTCTTGCATATACAGGGTGGCCAGGGCAGGGGCGGAGGCTTTGAGATTGGGGTGACCATTTAAAAAGAAGGTGCATTCGTCTGCTAGGGCTGCCGAACAACACACCACGGACTGGGTGTTTTAAACAGCAGACATGCACTTCCCCGGCGTGCTGGAGGCTGGAGGTCACGGTCACAGGGTCAGCAGGGCTGCTTTCTCCTGAGGCCTCTCTCCTTGTCTTCACGTGGTGTTGTGTGTGGGTGTGTATGTGCCCTCATCTCCTCTTCTCCTAAGGGGCCCAGTCAGATGGATTAGTGCCACCCCAATGGCCTGGTTTTCACGCAGTTACCTCTTTAGAAAAATATAGAACGCTTCGCGAATTTGAGTGTCATCCTTGGGCAGGGCCCATGCTAATCTTCTTTGTATCGTTCCAGTTTTTAGAAAAATATGGAACGGCAGTTGCCTCTTTAAAGACCCCATCTCTGAATACACTCACATTCTGAGGTCAGGGGGGGGGGGGGGGGGTTTAGAGCTTCCATGTGACTTGGGAGGACACAGTGCAGCCCGTAAGAGGAAGCAAAGTTATGAATACAACGAGGTTCAGGGCGTAAGAAGGGACCCGTCCCAGTGAGGGGTCCTGCAATTTCAGTTTCGTTGACTTCGTGGTAAATCTGTTTCTGAGTTTGCTCCCACCCTGTCATTACCCATGTACAGCCGGCCCGGCTCTGAGGGAGCAGCACCCGGTGAGTCACAGGGGGAGGGAGGCGAGCATGCTGGTGAGGAAGGAATGAGTAGACAGACCTATAACGGCCTAAAGGGCATGATGACAAGTGATTGAGAAGACAGATTGACTTCTGGATCAAATAAACCCATCAAAAACAACACAGCATGACAGGAGCACCTCAATACCCACGAACTTGACATTGGAGTGTCCACCGGGGGATGAGTTTCTTTCATGATGTTCTCTACCACCTCTTTCTCTATTGGAACTACAGTCAGAGCTGGACAGAGGACACACATGCAGCTTCAACAAGGGAGCACATCTACTCACACCCTACCCACCCCCTGGGATGGGCATTAGCCTTCCTTTCCACCTGAGGAAGCCGGGGCAGCAGGTGGAAGGGCCTTGTCCACGCCCTCATCGAGCGGCAGCTGGAGAACGTGTCTGCTATTTTACTACATCAAAGCCATTCCTATGTGTGCCAGGGGCAACGTTTTTAAAAAAACAAATGTTCACATGAATGGGATTCTTGTGACAAGGCAACAGACACTGAAGCTTTGGGCCTGGGAGACAGGCCATGACCTGGACCTGCTCAAGAAGACGGCACAGGTGGTTGCTGGGGGGAACGGGGCTGGAATCGATCAGAGATTGGACCGGCCAGCCTGAATCTATGGAAATACTTGTTCACTCTCAAAACTTACCGGGCCCAACATCAGAGAGGCTAGGACAGTGTGGCCTAGTCAGATAATTCCAATGTTTTAGCAGTTTGGGTGGGTCTGGCCAGGGAAACCAAGCGGGAGAGAACGAAGGCATTCAGAGGGAGGCCAAACTGGGGAGCTAGGGTATGATTTGCTTCCTGCCAGCTTGATTCATGCTAACTGTACTTTGCAGTAATTACTCTAATTAGTGGTTTTGGGCATGATGAAAGAAAATAATTACAAGTATTTATAGCTGGTCAGTGGGTTACAGATTGGACAGCCGAGGGAAGTAGACAATGAAGCTTAGTTTAGCTGCATTTGCTCTGCGTTACAATTGAGATTCACTGCCCTCTTCCTTGCGTTGGCTTGGCAATAGCCTGGCATTTAATGTGAACTCAGGAGCCGCATGAGAACAGCTTGAAGGCAGGGCCTCTGGGGTTATTGCTCTTTGTGTCGCAGGATCCAGGACAGGAGCCACCCAATAGGAGCTCTAGGAAGGTGGGCTGGTGGAGAGGACGAGGAAGTCACGTGGAGATCCACCATATTGCATCCGGAAACAATGAGCCCCTTGTTCTGTATGTGCAGCTCACCGCCCCGGCTGCACAGACAAATGAGAACAAAACGAAACACAGAGGGAAACAGTATTGTGCTTTGGGGGTGAAGGTAGCCTGGTCTTTTCTCCTTCGTGAGTCCTCAGTACAGGACTTCCAGGTGATGTACTGACGTAGACCCACTTCCTGGACATGCCCCGCCCCTTCCCCTCGGTTTCCACTCTCAGTCATTTGTGTGACCACACTTCCTTCCTGTAAGAAGGGATGAATGGATGTATGTCCAGCCCCGGGCAGGAGCACAGTAGAAGCTCAGTCAACATCTGGTGTCAGTCCCCAGCATTCCCGCCCACCTCTGTTCCCTCCTGTCCACGCTCCTGACAGTCCCCCTCATTCTCCGCTCCTTCGTTCGTAGCCCACGCCGGCTCGGACCCAGGTTTCAGCTCTTTCTTAGTTTTTTTTAATGTCTAAACCTGCAGCAACAGCTCTTGCTCGAGGCACCCGTGGGAGGGCAGGGATCACACCGCCTGCTTAGCGTTACTCTCTTTCTCATTCACCGAAGTCTTAGAGGAGGATTGAAATTGGCTAGGTCCAATTAGTCCTGATTTGGCCTCTAGCTGCATGGCCCTGAATCACCTACTCTGCCTCTTGAGCCGCGGTGTTCCTGTCTGCAGAAAGAGGGGTAATTACGCCCCCTTGTAGGGTTGCTGTGGTTAGAATAGCTTTTTTTTTAAGTGCCTGGTACAAATTTTAGCACACCTGAGAGGCTCCACAAACAGCAGGTGATGAGGATTATGACGATAACAATGATGATAATATGAAATAGTAGCAACAATTAATGTCTATTGACTACCATTATGGGCCAGACACATTTAAATAAAATTTTTCATCTAACATGTCTGAATTTGGATGAATTCAACTCTAAAAAATTTTGGACCTTGCTCAATGATCTTATAAGAAAAAACAAGTTATATTTGAGTACTTACTATGGTATTTTACAAATGTACGGTCAATCATTAAAGCCAGAAAACCAGTGAGAAGGAATAAAGTACCCAAACCCCCTAGCTAGCGAGGAGCACAGAGCCAGACTAAATCCGGGTGGTTTTGATCTCCAAGTTCACGCTCTTTCATTTTCTTCCACGAGAGAGCGGAAAAGGACAGGAGAGGCGACCAGAGGCTGTCCCTGAAGCACAGGGTCACCGGATGACTCGCAGGGTCTGAGGTGCCACCAGCCCTCTGTGCCCCCGGGGTGCGAGGACAGTCTTGGCAGGCAGAACTCCCGCAGGTGGAAAGCTGGGGGTGGCAGGGGCCAGTGCCTTGGAGGAGCTCAGTCCTCGTCAGCACCCCGAACTTAGCCAGGCTGTGGAGTGAGCTGCTCAGAAGAGCGGGGTGCACTGGGGAGTGTCCGGGGGCGTGGTGTGGTCTGTGGTTTGAGTGAAGAGACAAGTGCCAATGCTCCATCTCTCGGAAAATGAGAGGAGCTGTGTCAGGGCTAAGCCACGGCAGTGTCTTCGGGCCCAAGCTCATGTGGTGGGAGGGTCAAGCAATTCACACGGTGAGATCACGCCCATCTTGCCTCTAGTTCCGTGTTAGGCTGGGCACCGCCGGCACTTCTGCTCTTGAGTTTGCACCTCCTTTAACTAAGAGAGGGGGACCGCCCAGGCAGGCAGCCATACGTCTGCCATCTTCCACGGCCTGTGATCGCTTGTCCCTTTTCCAAGAGAGAAATCGTAAGACATAAATATTTATGTCAAACGGTAAGTATTTGTCAACGGCTGTCAGCCCACTGCCTCTCCTGAGACGTCCCCTAGCGCAGACCCGTGAGTAGCCGCCGGGCTCCCCACGCCAGGCGGGGCCTGGGCTGCTGGGCGAGGCCCGGCAGATGGCTCTCCGGTCAGGTGTGACGGAAATGGGTCTTCTCCCCGGCCTGGCAGACTCTCCCGCCGGCACGAATGCATCCCGCGCTGCACACAGAGGCCATGCATATTGCATGAGCCACCAAATGTAGAGACAGATCCTCACAAAACACAGGCCCCCAAATAAAGCTGAAACATTTCAAAACAACAGCAGTTGCAATGCCACCAATTTACTTACTTCATTCTTCAAACCCCCAGCAAGGGCATGGAATTAAAGAAGGAAATTCCCACGGTCTCCAGGCAGAACCGGAACAGCCCAGCAGCCTGGAGCCGGTCGGGATGGGTCCCCTTCAGCTGGGAAAGCAGTGGACACAGCCCCGGGGCAGCTGAGCCAGAGCGAGGTCTCATCCTGACCTGGAAGTCAGGACAGCCGTGGCTCAGAGCCGGCGAGCTGATCTCCGCGCTGGTGACTGAGGTCGGGGTCCCCGGGGCTCCCCCTGGCACGGTCGCTCTCACTGTCGCCCTGTGGTGGCCGGGCAGGCGCCGTGCAGGGATCTCCAGCTGTTCCATCCCGGGTGCCCAGCCCGGTGCCCAAGGCCTTGGGCTCCACGAGTGCCGATTGGATGCCTTTCCCTGTCGCCGTCCACAGGCCACTTGCTCGGCTTCTCCTCCTCCTCTTACCGTAGAACTCAGACCAGCACGCCAGCGGCGGTGCCATCATGTGGGGGTAGCCGTGCGGAGGCTGTGATTCATGAGAGAAGCGACCTCTCACAGCCCCGTGGCATCTTCACCAGAACGGGTGCCATGGGCGGCTGCTGACCAGGGGCCTCTGGTACCCCGTCCCTCTCCTCATGGGCACACCCCGTCTTTCCTTTCGGGAAATGGGCCCTCAGGCTTCCCTCTCCCCTCCGGGGCGGGACCTGCAGCCGGGATGGCGGTGGGTGGTGGGAATGGACGGTGAGGAGTGACCTGAGATCAGGTGGGAACCTCATCAGGACGTGGTGGCTGTTGGGAAGTGAGGGCTGAGGACCGGGCAGGGTCCGGGATGACTCCCAGGTCTCTGGCCTGGGCGGCTGTTGGGGGCGGGGGTGCCCCTGGTCATTGTAAGGTCCCAGCTGAGAGGTTTGTGACGCAGAAGCAAGACACGGAATCCGGCCATTAAAAGGGGGAAAGGTTTTAATCTGCACTCTCGGGTGAACCGCTGGCCCGAGGGTGGGCCAGGGAAGTTCACGCCAAAAAGCTGTTTAGGGAGGGGAGGGTGGAGGGCATGAGAGGTGCGGAATTCTTGCCTCAGGCCAGGGGTCTAGGAAGGTGCAGGAAGGCGCCAGCTAGCCAGCTATCTTTGCATCGGCTCTGGGCTTCCCCCCTGCCTTGACCTAACAGTCATGGAGCCCGCGGAGGTGGTGGGGAGCAGTGGCTGCTGGGATGCGGAGGCGCCGAGGACTGTTGGGGTGGCAGCCAGACCCTGAGCCGTTTCAGGGCCCATGCACATCTCCCTGGTGCCTGTGCCCGCTGCTCTCTCACTGCTGCACCGCCTCTGGGAATCTCTCCCCGCCCCCAGGGAGCACCCCACTTCTCTGCGGGCTCCCTGCCTCCCTCCCAGCCCCGGGTGGAGATTCTGGAACAGCTCATTCGCTG